CTAAGACATGTGTCTATGTGTATCTAGATTTCTAGAAATGTAACTCAAATCGTTCGCGCCATCTATTTGGAAACAACATGTCGTCCAGCGACCACGTGACCGATTTTTCCCGACTCGTCATGGCGCAACTCTCTGTATATAGGGACCCTAGCAATAACATCGCTAAAACACATGGCGTTTAAATAAATTAGTAGATGACTAATATCGGTGAGACACCATGGACACGTTCTCTTGTTTGCACGCACCTTTGTTTTTTTCGAGCTCCACCATGTTGCCGACGAGTTTCGTGCTGGAGAGGCTCGCGTCGTGCGACGGGTCGATCGCGTAACCTACGCAAACACAAGAGCATCCGTTACACGCTGACGCACGTCACCCGCGCCAGCCACCGCCAAAACACAAGAGCGCACGACGCCCGCGCCAACTCTGCAACACACGAGCATCTATTACATGCCAACGTACTCCGCTCTCCCCAGCCTATGCGAAAACACACGAGCATCCTTCTATACATCAACGCACGGCCTCCGCCGCGCAAGCCGACGTGGAAACACACGAGCATCCATTACACGTCAACGCACGACCTCCTAAACAACTTGACTTGTCCCCGAAATTTCTATTCCCAGACGTGACGAACAGGTGGGCGGAATCACGCGGGGCGGGCCGACGCGTCGCCAACGGCCGGCGGCGCCACCTACCGTAGCTCGTAAACGTGCGTCGCTCGCGCTCGAACGTGAAGTCGTTGACGTGGGCCGGCTCGACGTACCCCGAGAGAATGTTCTTCTCAGCCAGCTGCTGCTTCGTCTTGAACGGATGCTGCGGGCCCACCTGCCAGAGGTCACGACAAGGTCACGACAAGGTCACGATAAGGTCAAGTGTCCGTCCAGATAAGTCAAGACGAAATTCAAGGAGTTTTCCAGGACATTTCAATTACTAAAATTCTAGCTTTTAACTTAATAAAATTGAGTGTTTTCAGACTTAGCACAGCTTGAAAAGATACATTACATGGAATAAAGGACATGAAAACTTCTGATTCAGAAAAAAACAGAGATTAACTGTGAAAGGCATTCATTATGATAAGGTTAAGGAGATTAAAAACATGCACATCTTATAAAGTTATACATATTTACATTATACATAATTACATATTTATTGCTTTATATTTCTTATTTTATAAATTCCAGTTGTTTTGAGTACTTTTCCAGGGCAATAACAACTTTTCCAGGACAATTCCAGTATAAAACACAATATTTTAAAATTCAAGGAGTTTATAAGGAGTCGTATCAAATTCCAGGACATTTCCATGCCCGTGCGGACCCTGAAGGTCACGGAGAGGTCAGAACGAGGTTATGATAAGGTTACAAGTTCGCGACGAGGTCACAACAATATTGACACGAGGTCACAGAGAATTCGATATGAGGTCACGGATGGCTTTAATACAAAGTAGGACTAGAAACTTTGTGAGCAATTTTCGCCATACTAATATTAGGGCTGTAACGATACACAAGCCTCTCGATTCGATCCGGTTCTCGATATTACTATTAGCCTCTCGATTCGATTCCTTCGATTCGATTCCCAAAATATTGAAATGTTATCTTATTTTTTATATTTTGCAATAATAAATTATTAGAAATTGCCAATGAATACTAAATGGTGAATAGACTAGAGAGTCTAGAGAGTATATATACACTGCACACGCTGAGTAACATTGGTGAGTAACACCCGAGCATATAAATCAGTGATTTATATGCTCTGGTAACACTCCAGTATATAGCGTAATGCCGCCATCTATTGGAGGAAAAAAGTGGTATCGGAGTGGAATCTAAAATACGGGGAAAAATATCGAGGATCGGATCGAGGGAAGAGAATCACGATCCGATTCGATTTCGGTGGATCGTTACAGCCCTAACTAATATATTAGTTAAAAGTTAAATTATTTGTTGTATATATACAACAAATAATTTAACTTTTAACTAATATTTCAAAATTAATTTCGCCTCCTGTGTAGCACACCTCTGGCGCGAAAAGGTCCTCATATTTTGGGTTGTACGTGACCTCCCTCGTTGTTGAATCCAGTGGCGCTCCAAGCAACGACTTTGTCTAGAAATAAACGATTAAGACAATTAGGAAATCACACTACGGCAAAAATATCAATGTTTTATCTCAATGTTTTTATCAGCACTCGGTCACACTCTCTCAACTAACCAGCTTTATGGTTAGGAAAATGAGGTCTTATTCACTAATTAGGCTTAAGAGTATTACACCAAGGCAACATATTGCCGGAGCATTTCACGTTGTCATTGGTTCAGTACATCCCCAATACTGAAGAAGGGCTGGGCAATTCACATTGCCATTCTATCCACGAGGGTTTCATATTCCCAAATGATGAGAGTCAGGTGTTCGCGACTCGACAAAAATTGCGACATCCCATAAATCTAGACATGCCTTAATTGCCTAATTGATATGCCTTGATTCCCAGCTGGGTTTTGATAATCCCAACACAGCCATGCTATAGTTACATGCAAGAAAAAAATATATAATTTATTTTTCGAGGGCTCCTTTTCAAGCTCGCATGCATGAAAATAGCACTCTAAAATTTGGTTTGCATTGAACTCTATGCATTGAACTCTATGCAAATTTACATGGGCTCTTTTTGGCATTTCGGGAGCTAAATCGCCCCAAGCCCCTGTGTATTTTTTTCACTGGTTACGTGTTGTGCATGCTTGTGTATACATCTCCGAAGTCCGAACTGATCGAGATCACCTGTGTATTGGGGTCACATACGGCATGTGAACTGGACTCCACTTAGCAATCGTGGATGAATTGGAATGACAGAAACAGAAAGACGGATCTTATAATTCGAAGACAACACATGGTGAAGGGAGTGAAAGGGCGCACACAATGCACATGACCACGCAACATAAATGATAATCGAATAAATGATCATTATAACATAAATGATAATCGAATAAATGATAATTATAACATAACAATTAACATATACTCATTAACATGACCAAGCAACATAAATGATGAATGATGCATCGCAGATAATTATCATACAAGATTTGATTATGATACCTATTAGGCTATTACCTAATTTATAATACCACACGACACTTAAAATCTCAGAACGAACACTCGTCGTAATCGAAGGGACCATAACAAACAAGGAGAGAGTCTAACGTTGGAGCACATTGGCGGATAAACTGTGGATTGCAGCAGGATAGGACTTAGACCAAATAATTCTGTCCCAGATAACCTTTTTTATATTTTGGTGAGGGTTATTGGGACAGAAAGGGATGCATTAAAATTTTGTGAGGTCGCATGCAAAATTTATGCGCTGCTAATGCGGCCCGTACGCCCGTATCGGCGGGTAAAAAAGGCTACCGTTCCCATCTACATGGCTTTACCTTGCTACTGATGTGTGTGAATATTCACTTCTTAAAAGATTGTTTTTCAGAAACCCCGCTTCATTCCACTTTAGTAAATCGCATTCGCCATTTACAAACAATCAGACCAATCAGAGCGAGCCTTACAATAGCCTGGGTTTTTCTTGTATCTGTGGCGCTGCAGGAGGGTTACAGAATCGCCACAGATCATAGCACAGGTACAAGAGAAAACCAGGCTATTGTAAGGTTCGCTCTGATTGTTTGTAAATGGCGAATGCGATTTACTAAAGTGAAATGAAGCAGGGTTTCTGAAAAACAATCTTTTAAGAAGTGAATAACGATTGAAGTGAATATTCACGCACATCAGTAGCAAGGTAAAGCCATGTAGAACTTGGGAACGGTAGCCTTTTTTACCCGCCGATACCGGCGTATGGGCCGCATTACTTTAGCAGCGAATGCATTTTGCACCCCGTTCTGTCCCAATATTGGCAATAACCCTCACCAAAATATAAAACGTTATCTGTTCAAGGATTTATCTGGGACATAATGATTCGGTCTAGATAGGACTGGCACCAGCACTACCGTGACTACGTACGTACTACGTAGTGCCAGTGCAAGGCGACGAGTGGTGACTGGTGCATCTTTATCTTACGTTTGCTACTACAATCGGGGCCGAATTCACAGTCATTTTATTCTGAAGGGATGCGATGGTTCCGCCGTCACCGAGTGGTTTTAAATGTGCTTGGAAGTCCATGCTCTCGGATCCACTGTCCGAATTCGATTCTGAGCCATAATCACCCAACGATTCCAGTGCAGCCATATTGGCTAGTTCCGGTTTCACGTCCGGTCAGTGTTCGTTTGAAAAATATTTAGACTGCTATCTATACTCGACTTCATTGCTTAATTGACAAACTAAATTATTACTTAACATTTGCGGTAAGAAATAAAATAAACATTAAAACAATTATAATGTAAATAACAAAATAATGACGTTTTATCTCGCGAGATTCCGCGTACAACTGTACGAGATTACGTGATATCAGGAAAAAAACAGTCTACATTTCCTAAACCGACTGTACGGGTTTATATTCGAGAAATGTCGGTCACACTATAACTCAGCGCGTAAGTAATAACAATACACATAGGTTACATACTGTATTTCCCCCCACTTTTTACATGGACTCTAACATGATAGCCAAGTGTTCGATAATCGTGTTGCTGTTAGAGAATGATTTCACGGCTCCCCACCCTAAATCTACACTCGAATTGGGCCGCCAACCCAGTACTAGTCCTACTCTTATCAATATCATACATATACATAGGTAGAGATACTTGTCCCTATACCGTTCTGCCCGTATAACTCTCGCAAGAAATCACGCGAATGTGTTCGCAGTGATCATTACATATGATAGATGTATCTCGCCTCTACCCTCTAGGCTGTACTACTGCTCATAGCCATAGCCATAGGGTCTATGTCCCCCAGGTTACTGCCGGAACGTACCCTGGGTACGGTCCGGTATACCGGAACGTACCCTGGTCACTATTTGATAGGGTTAGGGTTAGGGAGTAGGCGTAGGCGACTCCCTAGACTCGTTAGTGGAGTAGGCGAAGTACGGTCCGGCATATAATATAGTACCAGGGTACGTTCCGGCAGTACCCCGGTGGACATAGACCCTTTCAGCTCTACTACTACAGTACTAGTACTACTACTAGTCTACTGTCTAGTTACGCCCGCGTACAGTTGCTCACGCAGGCTGCGGCAACTGTACGCAGGCTATAGTACTAGAGCAGACAATACTGTCACTGATAGATGTGTAGTGTCAGGGGTCGAAATTAGATTTTTATTATGGTATCCATTTGGGATACCAGGTATTGAAATTGGGTATCCCCCCCAAAGATCTGGTATCTCATTTTTTGGATAGTAATTTTAACAATTGTTTGCCTTCGAAACTCTCATCGCTCGCATTCATTGTATAGACGCATTGTCTGGTTCGCTTGATACAATGTATACACATCACATTTATGCTGGCGCTTGCAAATATGCTATTCCTGTTGTATAATGTTAGAGTGGCCTGCGCTCGCTCAAACTGCGCGCACTCGCTCTACGCGCACTCGCTCACACATCAGATGCGCTGCCGTATAAAGTTGATAACTCAACAACCACTATCCCGATTTAGACGATTTTTATTACTATCCCGGCGGGATACCAAGCATTGAAATCTGGTATCCAACACAAGAATCTCCCGCAGATATCGGGATACCGCTAATTTCGACCCCTGAGTTTAGCTTGGGCTATGCTGCAATCATGTTATATGAACGTATGATAATTACTGTTATACTTTCCATTTCCAGTAGGTGGCGTTACTGTGCGTAGTGCATTATGCCACTCATCAAGCGACTAGTGGAGCCTGAAACGCTCAGTAAAGGGCGCATCCCGCCTGAGATCAAGCATGAGCTGGAATGTGTGACCAACAACACACTAGCGGGTAAACAATCACGATACGCATGCTAGCGCCGCCAATCAAACGCGTGCAGGAGGCGGCTGTGCGTACTAGATTACTATTAGTATTAATCTGTACTATTAATCTCTGGTACACAATAATGATACGAGCGCTAGCTGCCATTCACACATAACCTTGTGAATAATAGTCGTCAAAGTCCAAGGGACTATATCGACGATGGGAAGAGATAAGTTGATCAAATACGCAGATCAACACTGTAGATTGCAGTAGAAAATTCCTCATATTTGCAATTTATCAAAGAGGAAGGTAGAGAGAGAGTGCAGCCTTATAGCTTTTTCACACAGCTCACGTGCATGAAAATGGCACTCTAAAATTTGGTTTGCATTGAACTTTATGCATATTTACGGGGGGACTCTTTTGGGCATTTCCAGGGCTCTTGGCATTTCAGGGGCTAAATCACCCCGAGCCCCGGTGTATTTTTTTCACTGTCACAGGCACTCTCAATCTGACATGTGAATCTGCCATGACAATCTGGTAACTTGTAGCCGAACATACAGACTGTATGTGTACGACAACACATGTGCACGGGTAAAGCACTGCGAAATGTAGCAGGCGAGGCGCAGCGGCTGTGTCTACTAGATTATTATTACTACTAACCTT